CACTGTTATCCTTTTTCTTCAGATAGTGAACACACATCCTTTTTCTTCAGTGAACACACTTATCCTTTTTCTTCAGAGTTCTTCTCAGATACACACTTTATCCTTTTTCTTCAGATAGTGAACACATCCTTTTTCTTCAGTGAACACCTTTCTCAGATAAGAAAGTGAACAGAACACACTTTTTTGTTAGATAAGAAAGTGACACCGTTTGGTCGTACCTTATATGTAAAGTGCCATCTTCCTCTACCGCAAGCGGCGACGGCACATGTTTTAGGTTTGTTTAGCCACAGACGTAGTGCAATGCTTGTGCTCCTGCCACCAGAGCCAGCATCGCGGACACAGCAGTCGGCGACGCTGCTTAACAGGCTGCTCAGGGGTATCTATATGCACAACCATGTTACTACTACTACTAGTAGTATCTACGCTACTACTATCTGAGATAACTGAAGCTCTAACGCCCAGCTATCTGAATCGTACCGATAGTACTCCCACCGTGGTATGGGCGTCTTTCCGGACCTGTGGACGGCTTCCCGGACCACCTGAACAGCCACCAAAGGGCCCTACTCCTGGGAAGTAACAGCGCGCAGCCAAGATTCGCAAAACAGCAAAACCTATGGAGTTTTCTTCCGATGAAATCATTTAAGATTAAATACACAAAGGATAAATTAAGATGATTTTAACATTAAAATACTACGAGACCATTTATAACCTAGATACCACAAAAAAAAAAAAGTGCGTTTTTATGTAGGTCTGTGAACATTTTTTTTGTGTAATATAGATTAATATATATAAACAATAAATGGATTATACATAACTAAAAACAATCCCTCATTCGGCTGAAAGGGCTTATTTTGGCGAGAAATATTTGCGAGGATTCCTGTCTGAAACAGCTGTCAAGTAGAGAATATGGACTACAACCTGAAGCACTCAAAGAACACATGTCTCCGCGATAAGAATTCAAACAAGAAAAATGAAGTGAGAAAAAATAGTGAAAGTAGATAATGCGTCAAATACGATAAATATGCGAAAGATTCGAAAATTACGGGATAAATTTTACGATATAAAATAGAAACAATACGATATGGTGAAAGGTGAAAAGAAAATAAAATACGAAAGTATAAAGTATAAAAAGTACAATTTATTCGTGGGATGTATTTTTTTTTGCATGTGTGTACGTGTGGCTATGTGCACCTCATGCTAAATCAAAGTTCCACCATATTTTTCCTGTTGCAGTGTAGGTCGTCAAACCAAGACATTCTACATTTTTAGCTTTCGGTAAAATAGCTTATTTTGGAGAGAAATATTGGCGAGGATTATTCCCTGAAACGGAAGTCGAGTAGAGAATTTGGTCAGTAATTAGATGGCTCGTCAGCCACCTCTCCCGATGCAAGAATTGCGATAACGAAGTGACTTCCAAGTGACAGGGGAATCTTCTGTGCTCATGATCTAAACCAGTCTTTCCCAACCTGGAGTCGCAAAGTTTTTTCTGGGCTCGCCAAGACCTCAAAATATCACGTATTTTATATATATATATATATATATATATATATATATATATATATATATATATAATATATATAATAAATATATATAATATATATAATATATTTTTTCTTCAGGTTCTTTTTCAGATAAGAAAACTGCCTTTATTTTCAGATAAACAACACAGATTGGGTGAACACTGAGGTTATCCTTTTTTTCAGATAAACTGTTATCCTTTTCAGATACACAGTGACACACTGTTATCCTTTTTCTTCAGTGAACATCTTTCTCAGATAGAAAGTGAACACACTTTTTCGTTATCCTTTTTCTTCAGATACAGTGTTATCCTTTTTCTTCAGATACACAGTGAACACACTGTTATCCTTTTTCTTCAGATACACAGTGAACACACTGTTATCCTTTTTCTTCAGTGAACACCTTTCTTCAGTGAACATAGATCACACTTAGATTGTTATCCTTTTTCTTCAGATACCTTTTCTTCACACAGTGAACACACTGTTATCCTTTTTCTTCAGTGAACATCTTTCTCAGATAGAAAGTGAACACACTTTTTCGTTATCCTTTTTCTTCAGATACAGTGTTATCCTTTTTCTTCAGATACACAGTTGTTAATACACATGAACACACTTATCCTTTTTCTTCAGATAGTGAACACACTTATCCTTTTTCTTCAGTGAACACACTGTTGTTATCCTTTTTTCTTCAGATACACACTGTTATCCTTTTACACACTTTCCTTTTTCTCAGTGAACACACCTTTCTTCAGATAAGAAAGTGAACACACTTTTTCGTTAGGAAACAGTGACACCGTCACTGGTTTCTTATCGTACACTTTTTTTCTTCATAATGTATAAAGTGCCCATCTTCCTCTACCGCAAGCGGCGACGCCACAGACGTAGTGCAATGCTTGTGCTCCTGCCACCAGAGCCAGCATCGCGGACACAGCAGTCGGCGACGCTGCTTAACAGGCTGCTCAGGTTTTCTTCATAATGTATAAAGTGCCCATCTTCCTCTACCGCAAGCGGCGACGGCACATGTTTTAGGTTTGTTTAGCCACAGACGTAGTGCAATGCTTGTGCTCCTGCCACCAGAGCCAGCATCGCGGACACAGCAGTCGGCGACGCTGCTTAACAGGCTGCTCAGGGGTATCTATATGCACAACTATGTTACTACTACTACTACTAGTAGTATCTACGCTACTACTATCTGAGATAACTGAAGCTCTAACGCCCCAGCTATCTGAAATCGTACCGATAGTACTCCACCGTGGTATGGGCGTCTTTCCGGACCTGTGGACGGCTTCCCGGACCACCTGAACAGCCACCAAAGGGCCCTACTCCTGGGAAGTAACAGCGCGCAGCCAAGATTCGCAAAACAGCAAAACCTATGGAGTTTTCTTCCGATGAAATCATTTAAGATTAAATACACAAAGGATACAAATATGATGATTTTTAACATTAAAATACTACGAGACCATTTATAACCTAGATACCACCAAAAAAAAAAAAATTGTGCGTTTTTATGTAGCTGTGAACATTTTTTTTTTGTGTAATATAGATTAATATATATAAAACATAAATGGATTATACATAAACTAAAAACAATCCCTCATTCGGCTGAAAGGGCTTATTTTGGCGAGAAATATTTGCGAGGATTCCTGTCTGAAACAGCTGTCAAGTAGAGAATATGGACTACAACCTGAAGCACTCAAAGAACACATGTCTCCGCGATAAGAATTCAAACAAGAAAAATGAAGTGAGAAAAAATAGTGAGATAATACGTCAAAATACGATAAATATGCGATTCGAAAATTACGGGATAAATTTTACGATATAAAATAGAAATACGATATGGTGAAAGGTGAAAAGGAAAATAAATACGAAAGTATAAAGTATAAAAAGTACAATTTATTCGTGGGTATGTATTTTTGCATGTGTGTACGTGTGGGCTATGTGCACCTCATGCTGTCAATCAAAGTTCCCATATTTTTCCTGTTGCAGTGTAGGTCGTCAAACCAAGACATTCTACATTTAGCTTTCGGTAAAATAGCTTATTTTGGAGAGAAATATTGGCGAGGATTATTCCCTAAAAACGGAAGTCGAGTAGAGAATTTGGTCAGTAATTAGATGGCTCGTCAGCCACCTCTCCCGATGCAAGAATTGCGATAACGAAGTGACTTCCAAGTGACAGGGGAATCTTCTGTGCTCATGATCTAAACCAGTCTTTCCCAACCCTGGAGTCGCAAAGTTTTTTCTGGGCTCGCCAAGACCTCAAAATATCACGTATATATATATATATATATATATATATATATATATATATATATATATATATATATATATATATATATATATATATATATATATATATATATATATATTATATTTTTTTTCTTCAGGTTCTTTTTCAGATAAGAAACCCTTTATTTTCAGATAAAAACAACACAGGTTATCCTTTTTTCAGATTGGTGAACACTTTTTCTTCAGATAACACTTTTGATAAACTGTGAAGTTATCCTTTTCAGATACACAGTGAACACTGTTATCCTTTTTCTTCAGATACACAGTGAACACACTGTTATCCTTTTTCTTCAGATACACAGTGAAACACACTGTTATCCTTTTTCTTCAGATAGTGAACACACATCTTTTTTCTTCAGTGAACACCTTTCTTAAGAAAGTGAACACACTTTTCGTTATCCTTTTTCTTCAGATACACAGTGAACACACTGTTATCTTTTTCTTCAGATACACAGTGAACACACACTGTTATCCTTTTCTTCAGATTCACACTGTATCCTTTTTCTTCAGATAGTGAACACATCCTTTTTCTTCAGTGAACACCTTTCTCAGATAAGAAAGTGAACACACTTTTTCGTTAGATAAGAAACTGACACCGTCACTGGTTTCTTATCGTACACTTATCGTACCCATCTTCCTCTACCGCAAGCGCGACGGCACATGTTTTAGGTTTGTCTAGCCACAGACGTAGTGCAATGCTTGTGCTCCTGCCACCAGAGCCAGCATCGCGGACACAGCAGTCGGCGACGCTGCTTAACAGGCTGCTCAGGTTTTCTTCATAATGTATAAAGTGCCCATCTTCCTCTACCGCAAGCGGCGACGGCACATGTTTTAGGTTTGTTTAGCCACAGACGTAGTGCAATGCTTGTGCTCCTGCCACCAGAGCCAGCATCGCGGACACAGCAGTCGGCGACGCTGCTTAACAGGCTGCTCAGGGTATCTATATGCACAACCATGTTACTACTACTACTAGTAGTATCTACGCTACTACTATCTGAGATAACTGAAGCTCTAACGCCCCAGCTATCTGAAATCGTACCGATAGTACTCCCACCGTGGTATGGGCGTCTTTCCGGACCTGTGGACGGCTTCCCGGACCACCTGAACAGCCACCAAAGGGCCCTACTCCTGGGAAGTAACAGCGCGCAGCCAAGATTCGCAAAACAGCAAAACCTATGGAGTTTTCTTCCGATGAAATCATTTAAGATTAAAACACAAAGGATACAATTAAGATAATTTTTAACATTTAAAATACTACGAGACCATTTATAACCTAGATACCACCAAAAAAAAAAATGCGTTTTTATGTAGGTCTGTGAACATTTTTTTGTGTGTATTTAGATTAATATATATAAAACAATAAATGGATTATAAACTAAAAACAATCCCTCATTCGGCTGAAAGGGCTTATTTTGGCGAGAAATATTTGCGAGGATTCCTGTCTGAAACAGCTGTCAAGTAGAGAATATGGACTACAACCTGAAGCACTCAAAGAACACATGTCTCCGCGATAAGAATTCAAAGAAAAATGGTGAGAAAAAATAAAGTAGATAATGCGTCAAAATACGATAAATATGCGAAAGATTCGAAAATTACGGGATAAATTTTTACGATATAAAATAGAAATACGATATGGTGAAAGGTGAAAAGGAAAATAAACAAATACGAAAGTATAAAACGTATAAAAAGCTACAATTTATTCGTGGGTAATGTATTTTTTGGTATGTGTGTACNATATATATATATATATATAATATAATATATAATATAATATATTTTTTTTTTTCTTCAGGTTCTTTTCAGATAAGAAACCCTTTATTTTCAGATAAGAAACAACACAGGTTATATCCTTTTTTCAGATTGGGTGAACACTTTTTCTTCAGATAACACTTTTGATAAACTGTGAAGTTATCCTTTTCAGATAAGTGAACCATTATCTTTTCAGATACACAGTGAACACTGTTATCCTTTTTTCTTCAGATACACAGTGAACACACTGTTATCCTTTTTCTTCAGATAGTGAACACATCCTTTTTCTTCAGTGAACACCTTTCTCAGATAAGTGAACACACTTTTTCGTTATCCTTTTTCTTCAGATACACAGTGAACACACTGTTATCCTTTTTCTTCAGATACACAGTGAAACAAACACACTGTTTCCTTTTTTTCTTCAGATACACAGTGAACACACTGTTATCCTTTTTCTTCAGATAGTGAACACATCCTTTTCTTCAGTGAACACCTTTCTCAGATAAGAAAGTGAACACTTTTTCGTTAGATAAGAAACTGACACCGTCACTGGTTTCTTATCGTACACTTATCGTACACCCATCTTCCTCTACCGCAAGCGGCGACGGCACATGTTTTAGGTTTGTTTAGCCACAGACGTAGTGCAATGCTTGTGCTCCTGCCACCAGAGCCAGCATCGCGGACACAGCAGTCGGCGACGCTGCTTAACAGGCTGCTCAGGTTTTCTTCATAATGTATAAAGTGCCCATCTTCCTCTACGCAAGCGGCGACGGGCACATGTTTAGGTTTGTTTAGCCACAGACGTAGTGCAATGCTTGTGCTCCTGCCACCAGAGCCAGCATCGCGGACACAGCAGTCGGCGACGCTGCTTAACAGGCTGCTCAGGGGTATCTATATGCACAACCATGTTACTACTACTACTAGTAGTATCTACGCTACTACTATCTGAGATAACTGAAGCTCTAACGCCCCAGCTATCTGAAATCGTACCGATAGTACTCCCACCGTGGTATGGGCGTCTTTCCGGACCTGTGGACGGCTTCCCGGACCACCTGAACAGCCACCAAAGGGCCCTACTCCTGGGAAGTAACAGCGCGCAAGATTCGCAAAAACCAGCAAACCTGGAGTTTTTCCCGATGAAATCATTTAAGATTAAATACACAAAGGACACAAATAAGATGATTTTTAACAAAATACTACGAGACCATTTATAACCTAGATACCACCAAAAAAAAAAAAAAAGTGCGTTTTTATGTAGCTCTGTGAACATTTTTTTTTTGTGTAATATAGATTATATATAAAAAATAAATTAATGACAGTAATGATAATAATGTGAAATAGATTATCATTTCTATAATAAAAGGCTAAAAGTAGAAAAAATATTAAAAGTAGAAAAACTGGCAAAATCTAGCGAAATACATAAACTAAAAACAATCCCTCATTCGGCTGAAAGGGCTTATTTTGGCGAGAAATATTTGCGAGGATTCCTGTCTGAAACAGCTGTCAAGTAGAGAATATGGACTACAACCTGAAGCACTCAAAGAACACATGTCTCCGCGATAAGAATTCAAACAAGAAAAATGAAGTGAGAAAAAATAGTGAGATAATACGTCAAAATACGATAAATATGCGATTCGAAAATTACGGGATAAATTTTACGATATAAAATAGAAATACGATATGGTGAAAGGTGAAAAGGAAAATAAATACGAAAGTATAAAAAGTACAATTTATTCGTGGGTATGTATTTTTGCGTGTGTACGTGTGCACCTCATGCTAAGTCAAAGTTCCACCATATTTTTCCTGTTGCAGTGTAGGTCGTCAAACCAAGACATTCTACATTTAGCTTTCGGTAAAATAGCTTATTTTGGAGAGAAATATTGGCGAGGATTATTCCCTAAAACGGAAGTCGAGTAGAGAATTTGGTCAGTAATTAGATGGCTCGTCAGCCACCTCTCCCGATGCAAGAATTGCGATAACGAAGTGACTTCCAAGTGACAGGGGAATCTTCTGTGCTCATGATCTAAACCAGTCTTCCCAACCCTGGAGTCGCAAAGTTTTTTCTGGGCTCCACCTATATATATATATATATATATATATATATATATATATATATATATATATATATTATATATATATATATATAATATATATATATATTTTTTCTTCAGGTTCTTTTTCAGATAAGAAACTGCCTTTATTTTCAGATAAACAACACAGATTGGGTGAACACTGAGGTTATCCTTTTTCTTCAGATAAACTGTTATCCTTTTCAGATACACAGTGAACACTGTTATCCTTTTTCTTCAGTGAACATCTTTCTCAGATAAGAAAGTGAACACACTTTTTCGTTATCCTTTTTCTTCAGATCAGTGTTATCCTTTTTCTTCAGATACACAGTGAACACACTGTTACACACATTTTCTTCAGATAGTGAACACACTTATCCTTTTTCTTCAGTGAACACCTGTTGTTATCCCTTTTTCTTCAGATACACACTGTTATCCTTTTTCTTCAGATAGTGAACACACTTATCCTTTTTCTTCAGTGAACACCTTTCTCAGATAAGAAAGTGAACACACTTTTTCGTTAGATAAGAAACAGTGACACCGTCACTGGTTTCTTATCGTACACTTTTTTTCTTCATAATGTATAAAGTGCCCATCTTCCTCTACCGCAAGCGGCGACGGCACATGTTTTGGTTTGTCTAGCCACCAGAGCCAGCATCGCGGACACAGCAGTCGGCGACGCTGCTTAACAGGCTGCTCAGGTTTTCTTCATAATGTATAAAGTGCCCATCTTCCTCTACCGCAAGCGGCGACGGCACATGTTTTAGGTTTGTTTAGCCACAGACGTAGTGCAATGCTTGTGCTCCTGCCACCAGAGCCAGCATCGCGGACACAGCAGTCGGCGACGCTGCTTAACAGGCTGCTCAGGGGTATCTATATGCACAACTATGTTACTACTACTACTACTAGTAGTATCTACGCTACTACTATCTGAGATAACTGAAGCTCTAACGCCCCAGCTATCTGAAATCGTACCGATAGTACTCCCACCGTGGTATGGGCGTCTTTCCGGACCTGTGGACGGCTTCCCGGACCACCTGAACAGCCACCAAAGGGCCCTACTCCTGGGAAGTAACAGCGCGCAGCCAAGATTCGCAAAACAGCAAAACCTATGGAGTTTTCTTCCGATGAAATCATTTAAGATTAAATACACAAAGGATACAAATATGATGATTTTTAACATTAAAATACTACGAGACCATTTATAACCTAGATACCACAAAAAAAAAAAAAAAATTGTGCGTTTTTATGTAGCTGTGAACATTTTTTGTGTAATATAGATTAATATATATAAAACAATAAATGGATTATACATAAACTAAAAACAATCCCTCATTCGGCTGAAAGGGCTTATTTTGGCGAGAAATATTTGCGAGGATTCCTGTCTGAAACAGCTGTCAAGTAGAGAATATGGACTACAACCTGAAGCACTCAAAGAACACATGTCTCCGCGATAAGAATTCAAACAAGATGAAGTGAGAAAAAATAGAGATAATACGTCAAAATACGATAAATATGCGAGATTCGAAAATTACGGGATAAATTTTACGATATAAAATAGAAATACGATATGGTGAAAGGTGAAAAGGAAAATAAACAAATACGAAAGTATAAAGTATAAAAAGTACAATTTATTCGTGGGTATGTATTTTTGCATGTGTGTACGTGTGGGCTATGTGCACCTCATGCTGTCAATCAAAGTTCCACCATATTTTTCCTGTTGCAGTGTAGGTCGTCAAACCAAGACATTCTACATTTAGCTTTCGGTAAAATAGCTTATTTTGGAGAGAAATATTGGCGAGGATTATTCCCTAAAACGGAAGTCGAGTAGAGAATTTGGTCAGTAATTAGATGGCTCGTCAGCCACCTCTCCCGATGCAAGAATTGCGATAACGAAGTGACTTCCAAGTGACAGGGGAATCTTCTGTGCTCATGATCTAAACCAGTCTTTCCCAACCCTGGAGTCGCAAAGTTTTTTCTGGGCTCGCCAAGACCTCAAAATAATACGTATTATATATATATATATATATATATATATATATATATATATATATATATTATATATAATATTTTTTTCTTCAGGTTCTTTTTCAGATAAGAAACTGCCTTTATTTTCAGATAAAAACACAACACTGAGGTTATCCTTTTTTTCAGATAAACTGTTATCCTTTTTCAGATACACAGTGGTTATTTTTCTTCAGATTTCTTTCAGATAGTGAACACAGTTATCCTTTTTTCTTCAGACTGTTATCCTTTTTCTTCAGATACACAGTGAACACACTGTTATCCTTTTTCTTCAGATACACAGTGAACACACTGTTATCCTTTTTCTTCAGATAGTGAACACACTTATCCTTTTTCTTCAGTGAACACACTTATCCTTTTTCTTCAGTGAACACACTGTTATCCTTTTCTTCAGCTGTTATCCTTTTTCTTCAGATAGTGAACACACTTATCCTTTTTCTTCAGTGAACACCTTTCTCAGATAAGAAAGTGAACACACTTTTTCGTTAGATAAGAAACAGTGACACCGTCACTGGTTTCTTATCGTACACTTTTTTCTTCATAATGTATAAAGTGCCCATCTTCCTCTACCGCAAGCGGCGACGGCACATGTTTTAGGTTTGTCTAGCCACAGACGTAGTGCAATGCTTGTGCTCCTGCCACCAGAGCCAGCATCGCGGACACAGCAGTCGGCGACGCTGCTTAACAGGCTGCTCAGGGGTATCTATATGCACAACCATGTTACTACTACTACTAGTAGTATCTACGCTACTACTATCTGAGATAACTGAAGCTCTAACGCCCCAGCTATCTGAAATCGTACCGATAGTACTCCCACCGTGGTATGGGCGTCTTTCCGGACCTGTGGACGGCTTCCCGGACCACCTGAACAGCCACCAAAGGGCCCTACTCCTGGGAAGTAACAGCGCGCAGCCAAGATTCGCAAAACAGCAAAACCTATGGAGTTTTCTTCCGATGAAATCATTTAAGATTAAATACACAAAGGATACAATTAAGATAATTTTGAACATTTAAAATACTACGAGACCATTTATAACCTAGATACCACCAAAAAAAAAAGGTGCGTTTTTATGTAGGTCTGTGAACATTTTTTTGTGTGTATTTAGATTAATATATATAAAACAATAAATGGATTATAAACTAAAAACAATCCCTCATTCGGCTGAAAGGGCTTATTTTGGCGAGAAATATTTGCGAGGATTCCTGTCTGAAACAGCTGTCAAGTAGAGAATATGGACTACAACCTGAAGCACTCAAAGAACACATGTCTCCGCGATAAGAATTCAAACAAGAAAAATGAAGTGAGAAAAAATAGTGAAAGTAGATAATGCGTCGAAATACGATAAATATGCGAGATTCGAAAATTACGGGATAAATGAGTTTACGATATAAAATAGAAACAATACGATATGGTGAAAGGTGAAAAGAAAAATGTAAAATACGAAAGTATAAAGCAAAGTATAAAAAGTACAATTTATTTGTGGGATTGTATTTGTTTTTGCATGTGTGTACGTGTGGGCTATGTGCACCTCATGCTAATCAAAGTTCCACCATATTTTTCCTGTTGCAGTGTAGGTCGTCAAACCAAGACGTCATTCTACATTATTTAGCTTTCGGTAAAATAGCTTATTTTGGAGAGAAATATTGGCGAGGATTATTCCCTGAAACGGAAGTCGAGTAGAGAATTTGGTCAGTAATTAGATGGCTCGTCAGCCACCTCTCCCGATGCAAGAATTGCGATAACGGAGTGACTTCCAAGTGACAGGGGAATCTTCTGTGCTCATGATCTAAACCAGTCTTTCCCAACCCTGGAGTCGCCGTTTTTTCTGGGC